TAAAGTGTTAAAAAACAAAGATGTCATTGTGAGGACTAAGGTGCGCTCAACCCAGTGCCATGGTATTTTCAATCACCTCATGCGCATGCAAAAGCTGGACAATGAATAAGGAAGACTGAAGAAGAATTGATGCCTTTGAATTATGGTGTTGGCAAAGAATATTGAATATACCACGGACTTCCAAAAGAATGAACAAATCTGTCTTGGAAGAAGTATAGCCAGAATGCTCCTTAGAAGCAAGGATGGTGGGACTTTGTCTCACATACTTTGGACATGTTATCAGGAGGGACCAGTCCATGCAGAAGGACATCATGCTTGGTAAAACAGAGGGTCAGCAAAAAAGAGGAAGATCCTCAACGAGATGAATTGACACAGTGGCTGCAACAGTGGGCTCAAGCATAACAATGATCATGAGGATGGAGGAGGACCGGGCATTGTTTCGTTCAGTTGTACATAGGTTCACGATGAGTCAGAACGGATTCCACAGCACCTAACAACAATAACATGATGTTAATGAGGCAGGATTAGAGGCAGTTATGTTAATGAGGCAAGACTCAATCTATAGGATTAGGTTGTATCTTGAGTCAATCTCTTTTGAGATATAAAAGAGAGAATTGAGCAGAGAGGAAGGGGACTTCATTACCACCAAACAAGAAGAGCCAGGAGATGAGTTTGCCCTTTGGATCCAGAGTCCCTGTGCTGAGAAGCTCCTAAACCAGGGGGAGATTGATGACAAGGACCTTCTCCCAGAGCCAACAGAGAGAGAAAGCTGTCCTGAATTCAGACTTCTAGCCTCCTAGATTGTGAGAGAATAAATTTGTTTGTTAAAGCCATGTACTTATAGTATTTCTGTTATAGTAGCACAAGATAACTAAGACACTGACCCATATCAACTAATTCTAACTCTTCTCTCTGATACCAACTACAAATGCCATACTTCTTCCTCTAACTCTAACCACCAGAGCTAGGTCACAGCTCAAAAGTTAAAAGGCATAGTTCTCCAGCTGGCAAGCCGCCAAAGACTTCAAACTACAGCCACAAGCTTGAGAGGCCCCACAACACCATCACTTCTGATCACCTGCTGGCTACAAATTCAGGGGTTTCCTTTATCTCTCAGGTTGCCAACCATAAGCTCAGCAGTCCCTGAGCCCCCCTTGCTTCTGACCTGGTGGCTACAAATTTGGGGATTCCCATTACTCCCTCGGGTCTGTCAATTTGCTAGAATAACTCACAGAACTCAGGAAAGTGGTATAGTTAGGATTAGTTCTATTAAAGCAAAAAGGATACAGATGAAGAGACACATAGTATGAGGTCTGGGAGGGTTCCCAAGGCAGAGCTTCCATGCCCCAAGGGATGAGCTACCTCCCCCCATGCATCAATGACTTTCACCAACAAGGAATTTATTACGCTTCAGTGTCCACAGACTTTATGGGGGTTCCATTATAAAGACTTGATTGCCCATGTAGATGAACTCAACCTACAGCTCCCCTCCCCTGAGGTCAGGCTGATATCACCTGGTGGGTCTTTCTGGCCTGGCCAGCCCCCACCTAAGAGTTACTTTGTTAGCATGGCCTGTCAGGTAGATGTGGTCTGGAGCCCCTTCATGAATAACAAAGACTCCAAACACTGGAGAAATGCCAAGGTTTTAGATGTCAACTCTCAGGAACAAAGGACAAAGACCAAATTCTTTGGGTAAAGTTCATTATAAACCCCACAACACAAAAGTAAAGACAAGTTGGCAACACAGTGCTAGGATAGAAGAGCTCAGGATGGGCCCAGAAAGGGGAAGACTTCCCAAGAAGAGAGTTTCTTCGCTGAATCTCAGAGGACTCATCTTGAGAGTTGGCCGAGAGAAGGGAGGGGATCATGGGAGGCTCACGTGAAATTTCAGGCATAAGGAGCATTTACAAAGAAATGAATGAGTGAACACAGTGTGTCCCATACTGGAGTGAAAAAATGACACTCTAGAGAGAGGCGAGGGACCTATTATGGAGGACCTTGCCTATGTCAAATAACGTGGACCTTATTGTGTTATGAAGATTAAGTAGGTACCCGTGTAAAAGCATTTAGAACAGTGCCTGGCACGTAGTAAGTACTATGTAACACTATATGATTATTATTATTTCTTCAGAATTTAGACACAGTGCTCAGTAAATAATAGACAATTAAATGGTTTGAAGTTAAATTTGGAGGTTCTAAAAACAGAATTAGACACCAAAATGGGGTCAGGCAATGAGAAAACAAGTTGGGACCTGGTTGTTTGGATTGGGCTATAAAGCAAGTACTTGGTTCCAAGGAGCAGGGAAGGGTCCAACCTCTTGAGTTGGATCATAAGGTAACACCAAGTCCTAGAACTGGGCTATGAACCCAGAGCCACCAGCCAGACTTGGTGAGATGAGGCAGAGCCTGCATATGAGGCCTAAATAGCCTCCATCATGGGGAGAAATTAAGAAGCAGTGATCTAGGCAGGATTGCAGAGGTGGACAATACTAATCAACAAACAGTTTTATTGCTATAAAGCAGATAGTTGCTCTAGTTAAAAAGATTCTGGCCATATTACTAAGCCAAAATCATTAAGTATTTCTAAGACTATTTAAGACAGATGATGGAAAAATTAATTCTATGAGGAAGAATGTTATAAACAAAATTTTCTCTCAGATTTTGCAAGGTTCTGAGAGATTTTTTTTCACTCTTCCTTCATTCTGCTTCATTACCAAATTGAAAGTCATTATTAGATTTTTTAATTTTTTTCAAAAATTAAAATATAACTTACAGACAGTAAATTCACCCTTTTTAATGTAGAGTTCTGTACGTTTTGACAAAGACCTACAGTGGTATAACAGTCTAGAACAGTTTCATACTCCCCAAAATTCCCTCAGAAGGAATAGTTCCTTGTGGAAGTCAGGAACTGTTCTAGATCTTGGTAGTGGTGGTAGTTACATGACTGTATGGATTTGTCAAAACTCACAGATCAATTGCAGTCAATCCTTTCCTCTGTCTCCAGTCCCTAAAAACCACTGATCTTTTTTTTGTCCCTATCCTTTTATCTTTTCCATACTATCATATAAATGGAATCATATAATATGTAGTCTTTTGAGTCCGGCTTCTTACACTTAGCAGAGCATACTTGAGTTTCATTTATGTGGTGTGTATATCAATAGTTTGCTCCTTTTTGTTCCTGAGAATTCTGTTGTATGAGTGGATGTACCACAGTTTGTTTATCCTGTCACCAGTTGAAGAACTTTTTTTTCCTCTAATTTTTGGCAATCATTAATAAAGCCTCTATAAATTAAGAAACTGATCATGAGGGTGGCCCAGGACTGGGCAGCATTTCATTCCATTGTGCATGGGGCAGCTAACAACAACAACAAACATTTGAGAACAAGTCTTTTTTTGTGAACCTAAGTTTTCACTTCTTTTGGGTAAATACCCATGAGTGTGATTTCTGGATCCTATGGCAGGTGTATAACTTTATAAGAAACTGCCAAACAGTTTTCCAAAATGACTGTACCATTTTGCATTCCCACCAGCCATGTACCTGTTTGATTTGGAATACTTTGTATAGAATGCAGTCCAACAGATGGATTCCCATTTTCTACAGAGTAAAGTATTCTCAATTCTTCACTTATCATTCAACGTCTTCATCTGGCCACTGAAAAATTCACATGGTTGCCTTCCTCCAGCCATACCTGCCACTGTTCTCCCACATGTACCCCGGGGCACAGTAAGACTCAGCCCCTGACCTCTGGGATATTCACCTTTTATTAATGAAATCTTTTGCAAATCCCACAATTGAAATCGTCCAATCCTTCAAGTCTCCCTTCTGCTCTCCAAAAGAGATAATTTAATGAAATGTGGTGACAAAATAGGCCAATAAAATAGACAGGCACAAGCCTCTTTCTCTCTGTGCCATCCAATCCAGATCCCCATGTGCCACGTGGCAGAGAAAGCTAAGGAGGAGTCCAGAGTGCTTCTTAGGTCAGGCAACAGCCCTAGAAGAGCAGGTCTTTCTCCCTTATTTAAAAAAAGGAGAACGCTCCCCAAAGTAACTGAAACTGATTGCATGGGGTACAGTGAATTAAATTTGCAGTAGTGGAGGTGTGGGTGTAGGGAAGCTTTTCCTTTTATGTGAGTTCGAGCCAGTTCTTGGTGATAACTAAGGCTTTTCTCTGCCTCCAAGTTTTCTTACATATGGAGACAGAGGCGTTGGCAAAGGAACCCCAAGAGGAGACAAATAGTAAAGCAAATCCTTTTATAACACAGCAAGCATGCACTTGCCCATAAAAGAGATAATGTACATGGGATGGGTAATTTTCCTTCCTTAAAGAGTTTGGAGTCTTCCAATACACAGGGAGGTATCTCTCCCAAGGGCCCTGAAGTGCTGAAGGAAACGTCACATGCAACGTGTTCGCTCTCGTCCCATTTCTGGAGGAGCTGATGCAACTCCGAGCCGCGCGGTTGGGCCGGCGCTCGGTTCTTGCGCTGCAGATGGATAATAATGTTCCAGCACGGCTGTCTCTGCCGCGCCCAGTAAAAATCCTGCCGCCTGCAGCTTGGCAACACAGCTTCCAGCACCAGCGCTGAGTGCCATTATCTGAATGTGTCCTGTATGCCAGTCGCGAGCACTCATACCCCTCAGGCCGCCGAGGAGGACCCGGCTGATTTGATACTACCCTCCTCCAGGAGAAGGTCTCGGTCCTTTACGGCTCCATCTCTAGACCAGGGATCTCACGATTGAAATGCAAAGGAAAAGAAGCAGACCCTCTGCCCCTTGACAAGTGACCGTTCCCACCCTGTCAGTTCTAGCCAGACGTCGGATGTTTAAAAACCGCATTCGCAGCCCCTTTCCCGTAGAAGACAAAGGTTTGCTTGACAAGCCGCATAGAGACCCTCTCCCGATCTTTCTCTGCAGGCTCCCACTGTTAAAAACTCTCCCTTGGCTTCTACAAAGTCTGAACATCGCTACCCATCCCAGCCCCGTTTGCCCGGGCGGGACTCACCCGGCCGGTGGAGAAGCGCCGGAGCGCCTGGTTGCCCAGCCGTAGCATGGCGGAAAGGAGCGCTCCGCGCGGGTTCGCGGGCCGCCGGGGGCTCAGCCTGGGCGCAGTCTGCAGCCTCGCGGCTCGGGACCGCCCAGCTCGCTGCCCACGGCCTCCCCAAGTCCCGGGACCCGGCCCAGCATACCGCCCGCTCCAGCTGGCAGGACCCCTCGCCCTCCAGCAGGCAAGGCTCCGGTGGCCAATCGGGTGCGCCCGGGCGGGGCGTACGCCGAGCCCGGCTCGAAGGACCACGCCCCACGGCTGCCTGGAGTTTATTAACCAGGCCGACCCCTCCCTCGGTTCCAGCCCTGGCCAAGGTACTAGCTGTGGGACCTTCTACCAGTTACTAGTAACATATATAGGGATCTGCCTTACTAACGGACAATTTGACACCCCAAATTATGCCCTTAACACAATTCTGACAAAGGTGCAGACATGCCTGGGTACGTTCAGCTACTGCTCCTAAAGAAAAGGGATAGGGGCGCGTTCCCTGTACAGGAATCCTGATACCCAACTGGCAAGCTGTTGAGAGGATTCAATGAGAGAGTGTAAATAAAGCACTTGGCAAAGGGCCTGGTACACAGCTGGTCTATAACAAATGATAGGTACACGCCCTTCTCCTTTTCCTCTCTAGAAGAAATGCTCAATCATGCCTCAGTGAGTGCTTGTCTCAAATGGGACTCCTGTACCTGGCATTCAAGGTCATCTGCAATTCTGGCACTTTAGCACATATAAATTCAGCCTGACAGAACTATTTGCCAATGCTTGCCACCAGTCACTTGTTATCATCTCGGTATAACCAAATTCCTTCTTTTCTTAAAAGTACAGATCAAATGTTTCTTCCTGGAGGAATTTTTCCTGATTCTTCCCTCTCTTGACCGGTCTTCCTCCCTGCAAGTAATCTGAAGGATTTTTGTCTATGTTTCTCTCTCAGTGTCCCCAGGTGGTACACAGTGTTTAAGCATTTGGCTGTTAACCAAAAGCTTGCCAGTTCAAATCCACCAGCCACTCCTTGGAAGCCCTATGGGGCAGTTCTACTCTATCCAATAGGGTTGCTATGAGTCAGAATCGACTCGATGGCAACAGGTTTTTTGGGGTGGTGCAAAGGGTTTGCACTGGACTACTAACCTAAAGGTTTGTGGCTCAAACTTACTCAGCAATGCCATTGCAAAAGAAAAGTCCTGGTGATATGCTTTTGTAAAGATTATGGAGTGGGGAATCACTCTCTAGATAGTAGACACTTGTTATTTTTGGTGATGGGAAAGGTAACACTGAATATGGGTGAAGGGCACACAGCTTGACCAAGGTCAATGATGTCACTAAGAAATACACAAGAAAAAAGGATGTTTTTGGTGAATGTTATGACATATAATTTTGCAACAACCACCAAAAAATATATGTGTGGTTACACATGTATATATGCCTATATGTGTATGTTGTTGTCGTTGTTAGGTGCCATTAAGTCAGTTCCGACTTTTAGCAACCCTACGTACAACAGAACAAAACACTGCCCGGGCCTGTGCCATACTCACAATCATTGATTTGCTTGAGCCTATTGTTGCAGCCACTGTGTCAATCCATCTCGTTGAGGGTATTCCTCTTTTCATTGACCCTCTACTTTACCAAGTGTCACGGATTGAATTGCGCCCCCCAAAAATATGTGTCAACTTGCGTCTTAGTCATCTAGTGCTGCTGTAACAGAAATACCACAAGTGGATGTTTTTAACGAAGAGAAGTTTATTTCCTCACAGTTAAAGTAGGTTAAAAGTCCAAATTCAGGGCATCAGCTCCAGGGGAAGGCTTTCTCTCTCTGTTGGTCTTCTCATCAGTGTTTCCCCGGACAAGGAGCTTCTCGGCGCAGGGACCCCTGTCCAAAGGATGTGCTCTGCTCCTGGCACTGCTTTCTTGATGGTATAAGGTCCCCAACTCTCTGCTTACTTCCCTTTCCTTTTATCTCTTGAGAGATAAAAGGTGGTGTAGGCCACACCCCAGGGAAACTCCCTTTACATTGGATGTGACCCGGGTAAAGGTGGTATTACAATCCCACCCTAATCCTCTTTAACATAAAATTACAATCACAAAATGGAGGCCAACCACACAATTCCGGGAATCATGGCCCAGCCAAATTAATACACACATTTTTGGGGGGATATAATTCAGACCATGACAACTTGGTTAGGCCATGATTCCCAGTACTGTGTAGTCGTCTTACATTTTGTGATTGTAATTTTATGTTAAAGAGGATTAAGGCGGGATTGTAACACCCTTACTAAGGTCACATCCCTGATCCAATGTAAAGGGAGTTTCCCTGGAGTGTGGCCTGCACCACCTTTTATCTTACAAGAGACAAAAGGAAAGGGAAGCAAGCAGAGAGTGGGGACCTCATATCACCAAGAAAGAAGCACCAGGAGCAGAGTGTGTTCTTTGGACCTGGGGTTTCTGTGTAGAGAAGTTCCTAGTTGATGAGAAGGACCTTCCTCCAGAGCCGACAGAGAGAGAAAGCCTTCCCCTGGAGCTGAAGCACTGAATTTGGACTTCTAGACTACTAGACTGTGAGAAAATAAATTTCTCTTTGTTAAAGCCATCCACTTGTGGTATTTCTGTTGTAGCAGCACTAGATGACTAAGACACTTGGATGACAAATTGAAGAGGAATGGTGTCGCATTAATCGTCAAAAAGAACATCTCAAGATGTACCCTGAAGTACAACGCTGTCAGTGATAGGATAATTTCCATACACCTACAAGTAAGATCAGTTAATATGACTATTATTCAAATTTATGCACTAACCACTAATGCCAAAAACGAAGAAACTGAAGATTTTTACCAACTTCTGCAGTCTGAAATAGATCCAACATGCAATCAAGACTCATTGATAATTACTGGTGATTGGAATGGGAAAGTTAGAAACAAAGAAGAAGGATCCGTAGTTGGAAAATATGGCCTTGTGATAGAAACAATGCCAGAGATCGCATGATAGAATTTTGCAAGACCACCGACTTTTTCATTGCAAATACCTTTCTTCAACAACATAAACGGTGACTACACACGTGGACCTTACCAGATAGAATACACGGGAATCAAATAGACTATATCTGTGGAAAGAAACCATGGAGAAGCTCAGTATCATCAGTTAGAACAAGGCCAGGGGCCGACTGTGGAACAGACCATCAATTGTTCACATGCGAGTTCAAGATGAAGTTGAAGAAAATTAGAACAAGTCCACGGAGCCAAAGTACAACCTTGAGCATATCCTACCTGAATTTAGAGACCATCTCAAGAATAGATTTGACACTGAATACTAATGACTGAAGACCACATGAGTTGTGGAATGACATCAAGCACATCATACATGAAGAAAGCAAGAGATCATTACAAAGACAGGAAAGAAACAAAAGACTAAAATGGATGTCAGAAGAGACTCTGAAACTTGCTCTTGAATGTCAAGTAGCTAAAGCAAAAGGAAGAAATGATGAAGTAAAAGAGCTGAACAGAAGATTTCAAAGGGTGGCTGGAGAAGACAAAGTATTACAATCAAATGTGCAAAGAGCTGAAGATAGAAAACCAAAAGAGATACGTATATATGTGTATATGTGTGTGCATATATAGATTTATCTACATGTATATATATACATATGTGTGTGTACATGCATGTATATTCATATATATAATAAAGCACACAGGGGGCACAATTACAGATACTTTTTAGACCTAACCAAACACCTTGTAGAATTGATTTTCTAGGTTTGAAGGCTTAGGGCCATAGTCTCATGGGACAACTCAGTCAATTGGTACAATACAGTTCATAAAGTTTATGTTCTACATCCTAGTTTGGTGAGCAGTATCTGGGGTTTTAAAAGCTTGTGAGTGGCTATCTAAGATATAACTATTGGTCTCTTGTTGTCCAGAGTAAAAGAGAAAGAAGGCCAGATTTAATGACCTCAAGTGTGAATCTTCTCGTTTCTATTATTTCTCCTTAATATATTACTTCTCAGCTCTTGGTTTCCTTCCATACACTAAGTCATTGCGACTGAGACCTTTGCAGGTAGCAGTGGCATGTGCTGCTATTGAAGGGACATATTCTTAAATCTGAATGTGTAAAATGTTTGGATTAGTTAAACAATGCAGTGATGAAAAAGATACAATAGAGCAATATAAAATAATTTACTGAAAATAAATATATATATTTCCTCTCTTTTAGTGTAATGCTAATTCCAACCATAAGCAAGTTTTATGATTTTAACGTGATGTCTTTCCTCACTTGATTATAACCTTTTTATATTTTTCTTATTTCATTTAAACTCTATTGTGTTAGTTTTTTTTTTTTTCTTTATGGATTTAGTAAAACAGAAGTGTCAGATCACAGATTGGTAGACAGATCACATATTTCAAATAGATGAAACAATAAATGAGGTTTTTAAAGATTTGTATCTCTGTACTTGAGCTTGACTAACCTTAAACCTGTTTCATCTTTAACAATAGAATTTTTCTTGGGCAATAGTTTCTGGTGTAACGTTGTGTGACCCTAGTGCAAAAGCGTAAAACTGTGTGGATTATAACAAATTATGGATAACATTTCAAAGAATGGGAATGCCAGAACACTTAATTGTGCTCATGAGGAACCTGTACATAGATCAAGAGGCAGACGTTTGGACAGAACAAGGGGATACTGCATGGTTCAAAGTCAGGAAAGGTGTTCACCAGGGTTGTATCCTTTCACCATAGTTATTCAGTCTGTATGCTGAGCAAATAATCTGAGAAGCTGGACTATATGACGAAGAACTGGGCATCAGGATTGGAGGAAGACTCATTAACAACCTGACGTATGCAGATGACACAACCTTGCATGCTGAAAGTGAAGAGGAGTTAAAGCACTTACTGATGAAGATCAAATACTACAACTTTCAGTATGGATTACACCTCGACATAAAGAAACAAAAATCCTCACAACTGGACCAATAAGCAACATCATGATAAATGGAGAAAAGACTGAAGTTGTCAAGAATTTCATTTTACTTGGATCCACAATCAATGCCCATGGAAGCAGCAATCAAGAAATCAAACAACACATTGCATTGGGCAAATCTGCTGCAAATGATCTCTATTAAAGTGTTAAAAAGC